ATTACCGAGAGAAAAATGTAAGTGTTTGAGTGTGCAGGCTTTTCCGCTTACTCTTTTCCCCTTTTAACATTCTGACCACAACATCCTTTCTCTAACATTACTAACACTAACTCTCTCTAATATTCTTTGTCATCTGCTACCTACAAAAAGGCTCTGCTCACTATGCTTTATCGAGGTAAAAGTGGCACTTTTGTTTCTTTTTCCTCTTGTTCTCTAGCGGCTTGGTTTCGCCACCACTTGACCACTAATGATTGTGTGTGTGTTTGTAGATTAAACGAACGATTCGCCCACCTGCAACTGAACGACCTGCGGAAGGAGGCGACACTGGGCGTCGGTGGCCTCGGCCGAGTAGAGCTGGTCACCCTGGCGGACAACAAGTCAGTCAGCTATGCGCTGAAGGTGATGAAGAAGGCGCGGATTGTGGAGACACGCCAGCAGCAGCACATACTGAATGAAAAGCAAATTATGCTCGAGTCAAACTGTGCCTTCATTGCCAAGCTCTTCAAGACGTTCAAAGGTAGGTCCCCCCACGCAGGCTTGCTCGGTTGGTCAACGGCTGACGGCCACCGATGAGCAGCACTGATTGCCCATTACCCATTAACACCACTACCACCACCACCACTTGACTATCACCACAGATAGTAAATATCTGTACATGCTGATGGAGGCTTGCCTTGGCGGTGAGTTATGGACTATTCTCCGTAATAAGGGCTTCTTCGACGAGCACACGGCGCGCTTTTATGTCGCCTGTGTAGTTGAAGCATTCGACTATCTTCACTCGCGACACGTCATCTACCGAGATTTGAAGCCGGAGAACATGCTCCTTGACCAGACTGGTTACGCCAAGGTCAGCACACTAACCACACACAGAACCTGAGTTTGTAAAGGTTTTAACCATTCATTTTCTCTCACTTAGTTGACTGACTTTGGGTTCGCCAAGCGACTAATCCCTCCTGGTCAAAAGACCTGGACCTCCTGTGGAACGTAAGCGTTTGACCGTGCACCAAACTGCGAACCTCAGAATTCTCTAATGTGTTCGTTTGCAGGCCCGAGTATGTGGCGCCCGAGATCATCCTGAATCGCGGCCACGACCACTCCGCCGACTACTGGTCACTGGGCGTGCTCATGTACGAGCTGCTCACCGGCTCTCCGCCATTTACCGGCGACGATCCGATGCGCACCTACAACATTATCCTCAAAGGGATCAATGCAATTGACTTTCCTCGCAATATTTCTCGAGATGCACTAAACCTCATTAAGAAACTCTGTCGGGACAATCCCGCAGAGAGACTGGGATACCAGAAAGGGGGCATTGAGGACATCAAGAAGCATGAATGGTTCAAGTGTTTCAACTTTGAGAACTTGAAAGCCAAAAAGATGACCCCACCTTTAATCCCGACTGTAAGTGTAAAAAAGTCAATCACTTTCTATCAACTGCTCACCTCGTTCTTTTTTTCAGATTAAAAACGCATGCGATAGCTCAAACTTTGACTCGTATCCGCCCCCCAATGAAGGGGATCCCCCTGACGATTTTACCGGTTGGGACGAGGATTTCTAAAGTCACTCCCCCAATGCCAGACTGCCCCTTTTATTGCCATCCCTTTCTTCTCTCTCTCAGCCCCCACACACAAACATTGACACATCCAATGCACACATCTGACAGAGCTCTTCCTTTATTGTTGTCTGTTTGTTGATTTTCATTAGTGCTGATTTTTAAATCAAAGACCTTGTTATTTCTGTAAAAATAAACAACAGTCAATACTTTTTGATGTACATTTTACTCATTAATAAATGCAATTACATTCAATCAGCAGTTCGCAGGTAGAAGTGTTTCGAGTGAGCATCTACCATACTTTTCTCGATCTGTTTTCCCTGTTTGGGCGACGTCATACTGCGTCAACCCATCTTTTTCAAGAAAAAGCTACAATATGCGCGCTCAGTAGTACTCACTGTTTTCCTCGTCACACACAGTCAAGTCAGAAACGTCGAACCTGAGATTTAGAATTTGTTTTTTGAAAGCAAACCGACTCAACCGTTTCCTCTCTCAACTCTCCGACACCTACCAGTGACCATCACCATGAATACTCTGTTTGAGTCTGCGGATCACTTTACCCGCACGCTGAATGATCGTCTGTAAGTGCCAGCCATCCGGGTAGTGTCCGGTTGCATTAGCATTGCCATTGCCAACTAATCTCTGTCTTGTCCTTCCCACAGTGAGCCTCGAGTCAAGACCCATCTGAAGCATGTCTACTCTACGCTGACGGCCACAGTCCTGTCGGCGTCCCTGGGCGCCTACCTGCACCTGCACACCAACTTGGCGGCCACTTACGACTTTTGTTGACTTTCTAAGGTTTTTGTCAATTTTTGTCGACTTCCTAAAGTTTTGAGAGAGTTTACTTGTTAATTGGTTTTTCACAATGTGCAATCGTTTTTATTGAACTGAATTTGCGCCACTGAAGTTAGAGAAAAGAATGAAGTGGCCACGTTGATTTTTGTGAGAATAAGAAAGGGAAGTTTAATAAAGATAATAACACGTGCCATTAGGTTAGAAACAGTTGGCAGAGTGAGTAGTGAATCACACTGCTTACAATGGTATATATAGCAATAGTGGCAAACATCGAACTTTTAGCAGGGAGGAATCCGTTGTTCACAACTTTGAAAAACAGTGCCACTGTATCAGCGCTACCTCTTGCCGGCAGCGAACATTTGGACCAAGGCCTATGCCTCTTCTTTCTTCTTCTTCAACCATTTTATCTTTTTTTTTAAAAAAGGTGGCACCGGTTAAGGCAATCGTCATTCAGGATTGCCGAGGGAGACGCCCAGATTACTCAGAGGCATCTCTCTCGGCGACTTTTCACTAGCTTCAGCCATCAGGCGGCGGCGGCTGTGCCACTTCAACAGCCTTACTTCTTGCTGGCAGTCGCCGTCGGGAGTTGTCTTTGGGCACATATCTGCCAGGAGGAAATAGCTCCGATCAAACCTTGCGGCTTCTTCCTCTATCTTCAGGAGCTAGCAAACTCTTGGCGCCAGCAGAGTTTCACAAAGCAAAACTGCGCCATTGAATTTTTTGTTTTTGTGTGCTCCTAATCTCCTGTCGTCAATAAGCATGTGATGGCGTGGAGAGTGTGGTGGGCAGTTGTCTTCTTCATTTGCAAAAAAACTTTATTTTTGAAAATCAAATAAACATTAAGTTCAAAATGAAAAAATACTTACTTTTAAGAAGAAAGAAAATGAGGTGGTCACGTTGGCCTTGCAAGGCAGTGCCACGTCATCGGCCACTTTTTGCTTGCAGCCGTTTTCTTAGGTACGTGGTTGCCGCCACCCGGCTTGAAAGTGGCGTAAAGCCAACTTTTTTTCAACCATTTCATCTTTTTCTTCCTCTTGAGAAGGTGGCTCCTGCTGGCACCATTGGCAGCCAGGTGTGCAGAGGGAGACGCTCCGATAACTCTGAGGCATCTCCCTCTTGGCTTTATCACTAGCCTCACAAATCTTGTAGAAGGGGAAGGAGTGCCACGTCATCTGCCACTTCTTGCACCATCAAGAGACATTCGGACCTAGGCCCATGATCTTCTTCTTCTTTTTCTTCAGCCATTTTATCTTTTTTTTTATTTTCTTGCAAAGTTGAAAAAGAAAAATAGAAAACTTGAAAAGAACTTTACTGAGCGAGTGCTAAAAAGCAACTGATTCACTACAATGAGATGTGTCACTCTAAATAGAATGGAAGAACAATGCTTAACATTTCAAAAATTTATAAAAGTTCAAAAACTATAAAAATTCCTAAACTAAAAATAGCAGCCTTTTTAGGCCGTTGGTGACGTGGCTTTTTTTTGCACGCAAAGTTCGAACTTTTTGTAAATTTTTTGAAAACAGCTCCTTCACATACAAAAAATTATTTTAGAAAATCAAATAAGCAAAAAGTTCTAAAACACTTACTTTGAAGTGAAAAAAGAGCAAGATAGCCACGTTGACTTTGAGCAACAGTGCCACGNCTTATTTTCTTGCAAAGTTGAAAAAGAAAAATAGAAAACTCAAAAAGAACTTTACTGAGCGAGTGCTAAAAAGCAACTGATTTACTACAATGAGATGTGTCACTCTAAATAGAATGGGAGAACAATGCTTAACATTTCGAAAATTTATAAAAGTTCAAAAACTATAAAAATTCCTAAACTAAAAATAGCAGCCTTTTTAGGCCGTTGGTGACGTGGCTTTTTTTGCACGCAAAGTTCGAACTTTTTGTAAATTTTTTGAAAACAGCTCCTTCACATACAAAAAATTATTTTAGAAAATCAAATAAGCAAAAAGTTCTAAAACACTTACTTTGAAGTGAAAAAAGAGCAAGATAGCCACGTTGACTTTGAGCAACAGTGCCACATCATCAGTGCTACCTTTTGCCGGCACCAAACATTTAGCAAAGCCATGTAACGCCATAAAACATTGGCCTGGCAAGGAAATGCCACGTCATCAACTTCTTTTTACCAGAAAACGTTTTTTAGGTACGTGTTTGCCGCCACCAAGCTTGAAAGTGGCGTAAAGCCAACTCCGCAAACTCTTTTTTCAACCATTTCATCTTTTTCCTCCTCTTGAGAAGGTGGCTCCGGTTGGCACCATTGGCTGAAACATCTCTGTTTTAGCTTTATCACTAGCCTCACCCAACTTGTGGAGGGGTTCTATGTGCCACGTCATCTGCCAATTCTTGCAGCAAAAAGACATTCGGACCTAGGCCAATGATCTTCTTTTTCTTTCTCTTCAACCATTTTATTTTTTTTTCATTTTTTGAAAAGTTGGGAGAAAGAGAAAGCTGGTAGAGAACTTTACTCAGCGAATGCTAAAAAGCGACTGACTCACTACAGTGAGTTGTGCAACTCTAAATAGAATGGGAGAACAATGATTGACATTTTGAAAAATATAGAAGTTCGAAAACCTAAAATAGCAGCTTTGCCACACTGCTGGTGACGTGGTGTTGCTCACTTGCAAAATTCGAACACTTTGTAGATGCTTTATAAACTGCTCTTTTTGCTATTAAAATTCTTTTTTAACTACCTATGCTTGCTTTCACTCTCACCCTACGTTTCTCTACTTTTTTTTATTAAAAAACCATTATGTTTATTCCTTATTTTTATTATTGTTCCGTTTCCGCACTTAACATTTTAATAACATTAGCACACTCTTTAACTTTATTTTTCAGTTAGTATTGTTGTNATCTTTTTTAACTACCTATGCTTGCTTTCACTCTCACCCTACGTTTCTCTACTTTTTTTTATTAAAAAACCCTTATGTTTATTCCTTATTTTTATTATTGTTCCGTTTCCGCACTTAACATTTTAATAACATTAGCACACTCTTTAACTTTATTTTTCAGTTAGTATTGTTGTTGTTGTTTCAAGTTTTTTACAAGTAGTTGTTTTCAAAACAAAAATGTTTTTACCTTTCATTTTAAAATAAAAACAAACTGAAACAAGAATTTTAAATAATTTTAATTGCATTTTTAATGTTTTAAATCATTTTGTTGTTAATGATGAAAGCACAAGAAACTAACAGACAAATAACAAATATTTTTGCTTTTTCTTAACTGACGTTTAATTACTCTAAGTTTCATAAATGCTTTTAAATGAGTTTCAAAAAAATATTGCAGTTTTTAAGTTTTACAAACGTCAACAACACAACAACACCACCAATCGTTTGTAACTTTTTATAAATGATTTACAAATTTTGTTTTTGCAAATTTGAATGCACTT